GGTTGGCAGCCAAATGCTTTAACTGCACCAACAGGAGACATTAAATGTAATGATGTATCCTAGATTGAATACTGGAACAGAAAAAGAATATTAGCAGAAAAACTAGTGAAATCTGAAAGAAGTCTGGAGTTTGGTTAATAGTAATAGTAATGCACCAATGCTGGTTTATTTGTTGTGAAAAAAATGTATCACAGTAAATGTAAGATGTTACTAATGGGAGATACTGGATGAGGGGTTTTCAGGAACTCTGTGTATTACCTGTGCAATTTTTGTCTACCTTTAAAATCATTCAAAAAAAAAAAAAAAAAAAAGCTTATTTAAAAAAAAATTAGTGTGGGAGGTGAGCTGTTGCATTGTGGTAAACTGTGGTCAATGTCATGAGACAAAGTGTGTATGAACTACTGTATGGAAAGTGAATTTGCTCTGGAAACCTTCACCCAAATCACAATAAAAAAAAGAGCAAAGGCCAAATTAAAATTATTTTAAGTTTCTATTAAAAAAAAAAAAAGGCCAAACTCACTGCTGTAGGGTTGAATCCAACTCATCCCAACCCCCCCCCCACCGGGTTTCCGAGGCGGTATCTCCATGGAAGTAGATTGCCCAATCTTCTCCATCTAAGGAGTGGTTTTGAACCACCAGCCTTCCAATTAGGAGTCAAATGCCTAATTGCTCAGATTGTCTCTATAATGTAGAAAGTAGAAGGACCCTCTAAATGAAAACTCTCCTTTCTGAGCATGTGCTACATCTGCCAGGTAGTTCTGCTCAGGTTTCCCTTTCCACTATCTCTTAAATCACTTGCCTGTTATCTGGACTAGAAATACTTCTGAGGTCAAGGACCACATTATCTACCCCTTACTAGATATGAGGATAGGTAAACAACCTAATCTCAGTTCTGACCTAATTTAGTTTTTTGCCTCCTACTTTATCTCCATGTTATCATCTACAAATGATTCAACATTTTTTTACTAGCTAATTTATGGTGCTCGTTGGAGTTCTATGAAGCTTTCTACCAAATAAGAAAATGTTACTCTATACTTGATAAATAACTGTGGCAACCCCTTGTTGCACAACTCCTGTTGTGTGTGCATTCAAGTCAATTCCAACACATAGTGACCCTGCACAACAGAGTAGAACTGCCCCAAAGTGCTCCTGGCCTGTCATTTTTATGGGCACAGATCTCAAGCTCTTTTCTCCCACAGAGCACTGATGGATTCTAAGCTTTTAGTTAGTAACTGAGCATCTAAACACTGCACCACCAGTACTCCTTGCAGAACTATTAGAGATCTCTGTAATTCTGCAGTAGATTGACATTTAAAAGACCAACCCAAGTTTCTATGCAGCTTTGAAAGAAACCTTTAAACTCAAGTCTTGCTTTGACTTCAAAATAAACCTCTAGCTATACCCTTATGCCTGAATATTTGTAATGTCAATTCTGAAGAATAAATATGAAATCCTATAGCTAGATGATTGGAAGGACGGTTGGGCAATCTACTTCCGTAGTAATACTGCCTCGGAAACGCAAGGAGGGGTCACTACAAGTCTGATCCAACTTGACGGCAGTGCGTTTGTTTTTGTTTTGATAGCTAGATGAATTGTTTTTGAATGATAAATTCAGCACACTTAGTATGAATATGTGAACATGAAATTCATGTCCTTTCAGAAAAGGTTGCTACGAGTCTGATGCAACTTGACGGCAGTGCGTTTTGTTTTTTGTTTTGATAGCTAGACAAATTGTTTTTGAATGATAAATTCAGTACACTTAGTATGAATATGTGAAGATGAAATACATGTCCTTTCAGAAAAGGTTAATTAATAAATATGAAGAATCATTATTCAATCACATACCTGATCATAAAATACTGTACTGCCTCATCAAATATAATATCTCATTTTAAAGTTGATAATTCAGTTTGATCCATATAACCAAAACATTTATATATGAGTTTACTTGATGTAAAAGTGAAACTTTAAAAAATAGGCTATATTTTCAAGGTAAAGAGTGAAAGCTGAATTTTTATAAAGGACAGCTATGACAAACCTGATAAAAAAAAAATTCCCTATTATCTAGCATGGTTGGAAAATGAGGTTAATCACATATTGTGGCTTATAGGGAGTTACCATAGAGACCGTGCGCATATCATCCATTTCCAAGAAGAAACGAAAGATAATATACACTCAACACTGAAACTACACCAAATGTAATTTAATTTTCCTCTGATGAGTTAGACACACTTGATGATCTTGCAGTACCTCAGCATAATCATTGTGAACATCATCAATTATCTATGTACCCTATTTATATAGAAGTGCTAGTTAATGGAGTTTTTACATTAGCAGAAATCTGAATAATATTAAGGTTTTCCAGACTTAAAAATATGTATATGGTCAAATTGTTGCAAGTTCAATAAAGTAACCTTTTGCATTTTCAAATAGAGAAAGCTTATCAACATAATGACAGTCCTGATGGGGTCACAACAGGAGCAGGAAAATGTCCTTGGTTGTAAACTAGATTGGAAATTTTATTTTGCTTATATATAAGAAGCAACAATGCAAAATCATAACCTCTGAGAATCAAAGTAATTTTTAAGCAGATGATCTTATTGTTAATATACATGGTTACAAAACATCTAAAAATGACAGCAGCCTTTTTTCCTCCCTTCAATTCACTAAAAATAGTTTTACTGATATACAAACATATTCAAGCTTCCCTACTCATTCTAATAAGTATTTTTCTGTTTTAAAATTTTGTAGTATTGCTACTTTATCAATAGAAGCATTTCCCAAACTGTATTCCTTGAAGAGCTACCTAATCTAGCTTTGTTATGTGTATTTTACTCTTATTTCTTTGAAGAATCTCTCTCAACATTTTAAAGAACACTAGCATTCTAAGGAAAATAATATATGAAATGCTAGATTTAAATAAAATGTACAAATGATAACAACAAAATAAAATTTTTTAAAAAAAAGAATAAATACAAATTCTTTTCATTTTGAAAATGAATGGTAAGGCTATTCATAAATTTCACCTAAAAAAGAGGAGATTGGTAAATTGTGATAGTCTTGAAATCTTACTAGTTTTTTGTATCAGTATCTAATCCTGTTAAAGTAGGTTTTATAATAACCCATAATAGATGGGTCACTGACCACTAAGAACACAGAAATCTATCCTTTCCAGCCAGTAAAACTGAATTTTGAGAGACTTTAATATTTATATCCTTGATGTAATATTGATGTTCCCTAAACTCAAAATTTTAATTGTATGTAATTATTTCCACCATTAATAGGGTCTGAATTAACTGCTCACACAGACACATGGACTCACGTGGAAATATAAACACAAACACATTAGCCTACTCAACACTATGTAAATGATGTTACAAGACTTCAGAAAAATACTCCTAATGTTTTTGGATTTCCGAGGAATCCTGGACAAATGTATCTAGTCTGACAACATACGTTGCTCAAATTAATCATTGGTAGTCTTCAAATTACCAAAATAAACATTCTCAACGGGAAAATATATGTACCTAGCATGGATCCCAAACAATTTTTTAATCAGTAAGAGCTTTTCTATCATCATAGATATGTGTGTGTGTGTGTTTGTGTGTGTGTGTGTAAAAAAGAGACTGAGAGAGAGAGGAGAGTGGGATGGGGAGAGGGGAGAGAATGAGAAAGAGAAAGAGATTTGTGCCAATGATATCCATTGTATTTACAAAGGTAAGGTGAGAAAGAGGAGGTCTTCCAAAGCAAATTTTGTGATTCCTAGTTCCTGGGGCAACTGAATCAATTCATTTTAACATATGGTTAAAGAAGAACCATGTTCTTTAGAATAATGATAGCTTCAGCTACCATCTTCTTATCTCAAAACCCAGATTCTAGGCATATCACATTTTAGATAAAACCTAGATTCTAGGCATATCTGTTGTTGTTGTTACGTACGGTCGAGTCAGCCCCAACTCATAGCGACCCCTTCTTGGGTTTCCGAGGTAGTATCACTACGGATAGTAGGGTTGCCCAACCTTCCCTCCTAGGAGTGGCTGATGGGTTTGAACCACCAACCTTCTGGTTAGCAGTCAAATGCCTTAGGCACTACGTTACCAGAGCTCCTAGGCATATCTAGGGTCCTCAAATTCAACTCTGCAAGTTCCTCTACCACCGCCCCATATTTGCCCCTTACAAAGGCTTGATGGCCAGTCTTCCAGCACCGCAGAAAAGGTCTGCACCAAAAAATTGGTTTATAACTAAAATTGTAACTGCCTGTTTGGATATACAGGAGTTCTGGTGGCGTAGTGCCTAAGGCATTTTGACTGCTAACCAGAAGGCTGGCAATTCAAACCCACCAACCACTCCTTGGAAGGAAGGTTGGTCAACCTATTTCTGTAGTGATATCACCTCAGAAACCCAAAAAGGGGTCAATTTGAGTCAGATCTGACTCGACGGCAGTGTGTGTTGTTTTGATGTAAATGATGTTACAAGACTTCAGAAAAATAAAACAAAATTTTATTTTGTTGTTATTATCATTTGTACAAAAAGCAACCTAAAAAGTATTTTCCAACGGTAAGTATTTTAGATTAAAGAGGTCTAGGGTAATAAAATAAATTGGTTAAAAAAGCCAAATAATGCTAATAATATATCTAAAAATTAATTAATTTGTCATGCTTTAGGATATGCTTCTCTTTTCACAATTAACCCATCTTTGAGCAAACTTTTATTAGTTTATTATCAGTGTGAATTTCTTAAATATTAAGGTGAAAGTGTTCTTCTCTGGACTAGTAAAGCAAAATGTTTTTTAAAATGTGAGGGAAAAAAAAGCATTTCCTGAAAATAATTCTACTTTATTTGTTTCAGTACAGTGGCATTGGGATCTATGGAATCAATGTCGTCTTGGTAATTTCCAGTTATACACAAACAAAAACAGGAACAAAAAGCTTTGATCTTCAGAGACATTAAGTGAAAATATACATGCATAATAATAATTACGGTTCCAAGAGGATACTTACTGCTGTGTTTGCATCAGTGGCATGTTAGTGCTGTCGTAATTGTCTGTGTGTAGAGGAGGTATGATTTCCCCAGTTACAGGATGAAACACAGGAAGTGTTGACAGCGGCCAGGCTATCTCTCTATTCTTGGACATGTCACGAAGCTCTTTGGTAGATTTTTGAATAGCACTGTGATGGACCAATTGGATACTAGGTCAAAAAGAAAGAAAATAATGTATATTTAAAATCACATACTAGCTTAATGGGAGATCAATTAGAAAAAGTTATGGAAATTATTTTTCTTTTAAAATAAGAAGACATTATTGTACTTTGGACATTCTACATATTATCTCAGAAAGAGATATACGTCACATAGTTTTAACATAGAAAAACAGAATTATAAACTAATTTAAAGATATGTGTCTTTTATTAAACCAGGCTATGAAGTATTGTGTTAATATTACAGCCTAAAGTAATAAACTAGTGTTTATTTAATTTCTATGATTAAGATCAATCTACCATAGCTTTTATATTACTGCTTCTGATGGGGTATTTATAAATACTCACAGAAATTTCATTTTATGGTAGGTTATTACTGTAGACTCAGGAATACTTGTATGAAAGGTCTTTTCATCTGTTTTCTGGTTTATAGGAGTGCAGATCGGGAAATCACATAATATAAATGGCAAGTTAATATTCTGATTCTGAAATAGTTTAAGTTTAATTTTTATCTTTATAATCTTAATTTTCAAAATTTTTATTTTTAGTTTCTACCTCTCTAAATGTATCTATTTAGAAAGCAGCGTTCACATTTATGAAATAAACTATGAAACATGATCGATGGAAAAATAAAAAGCATGACACACAGGTATGAATTGTGATATGCAACTGAGAAATGAAAAAAATGATAAAGAAAATAACAGGAAAGAAGACACTTACTCTGGTGTTTGCATGTTTCTCTTTTCCCTAGAAACAAAACAAAATTTATGAATTAAATAATAGCATTGATATTTGGAACATTAAGACTATATGCTCATGAGATCTTGCATGATGTGGAAATGCTGACATTGTTACTATTAAAGGCAAACAGGCAGCATTTGCCACCAGGTTTATGATATTTCTTGGATGAGGACACATATAGAGATGGAATACTGATGAGAAACACACAGAAAAATGGAAAAAAATGGAGGTTAAGAATCAAGCTCCTGATTGAAATAAATTCTGTGATATAATGAAATCAGGTTACATGTAAAAATGGAAGAATTTGTTACTTGCTGCTTTATTAATTTTTTTCCCCTTTAGTTTGATTAACCTGACTTCTGGATAATCTCGGGAGGTTATTTTAATTGACACAGATGTCCTGAAAGTACTAACTATTCATGAAGTGAAGACTTATTGCTTCAATTACACCCTATTTTCATTAATTTAGCCCTAAGGGTTTTGTTTTTTTAAATATTTTAGACATTTAGATTATATCAAATCTTTTTGACAGCAGAACAATTTCTAGAAGAATTCTGACCATCACCTCTGAGCAAACTGACTCACATAACTGCTTCATTTAAAGTGCAATTACCAGGTCTACAGACTGCAGTCTCTGTTCACACAGACCAAGATACCGAGCCTCAGTTATTCCTGGGACTGTTTTGACAGTATGGATTTACATTTAACCTTAATCATTTTTGAATAAAGTAATTATGTCCCCTAATTGGATTTTCTAGACTCAAAACTATTTTAACTCCTTTTGAAGGAATAAAGTACTATAGTTTGACTTGAACACAATTTCAATTCATTTATAAAGTATTTTATGAATTAAATGAAACTGCACTTAATGGAATCTTATATGCTGCTATCTTAGTGGGTTCTATAATTTCTTATTAGTGCTTTAAAGTACTCACACTCCTTCCCGTCGGCAGCACATGATATAAGCAAGTATTAGAAAAAGGACCAGTGCTACTGCCGAGGGCACAGCCAGTGTAATTAGGAAATCCGTGTAATAGTCTCTGCTTTTCAAAGAATCAGAAGGGGGTTTGTATTCTCCACCATCAGGTAAAATCCCCTCTCCACGAATCACTTCCTGATAAGTGGACACTTGCTTTGTTTTATCAACCTGATACAAAAAAAGACAATTACACATCAAATTATTAGCTTTTAAACATTAGGAGATTTTATGAGTAGACATAAACATATTTTGATAAATTACCTGAAAAGCAATCTTTTCCAATTACTTTATTCCATTTAATGTGCAATTAAAATTTACTGGAGTTAGAGATGGCTGATGAATGATAATATAAATTAAAGCTTTACCTTGACCTAAGTTCTACGTTCTTACCGCCACACAAACACATACATAATACATATGTGTGTGTGTGTGTGTGTGTGTGTATATGTGCAGATAAAGACCTGGAGATGATCTGTTCCCTGGGAAACCCTGAACGGCAATTCTAAACTGCCAAAGAGGGTGTCTGTGAATCAGGATTGACTTGACAGCACACAACAACATATATACATATGTGTATGTGTGTGTGTGTGTATGTATATGTATATGTTACATTGCCATTGCCATTGTCACTGAGTCAATTCCAACTCATGGTGACTCAATAGGGCAGAAGAGAACCACCCCATAGGCTTTCCAAGGCTATAAATCTTTATGAAAGCAGATTGCCACACCTTTCTCCCACAGAGCAGCTGGTGGATTCAAACTGGCAATCTTTCTGTTAGCATCCAACGGCTTAAGCACCGTGCCACCAGGGCTCCTTATATACCCTAAACCAACTGCTGTCGAGTTAGTTCAGACTCATACTGATCTTATTAATAGGACAGAGTAAAACTGCACAATAGAATTTCTAAGGCTGTCATCTTTACAGGAGCAGACTGCCATATCTTTCTCCAGTGTAGTGGCTGGTGGGTTCAAACCAATGACCTTTTCATTAGCAGCTGAGTGCTTAACCACTGTGTCACCAGACACCTATATATACATATATACATATATATATATACACACATAAACCCAAAAAAAAAAAACCACTCACTGCCATCAAGTCACTTAGACTCATAGCAACTCCTCCTTGGGTTTCCAAGGCAGTACCTCTATGGAAGTAGATTGCCCAATGTTCCTTATGAGGAGTGGCTGGTGGGTTTGAACTGCCAGCCTTCTGGTTAGCAGTCAAGTGCCTTAGGCACTATGCTACCAGAGCTCCTATATATAGATATACATATATATACATATACATATATATATATATACACACACACATACACACACATATATGTGTGTGTGTATACACACACACATATACATACACATACAACCAAAAAATAAAGCCACTGCTGCCGAGATGATTCCAACTCAAAGAGACCCTATAAGGACAGAGTAGAATTACCCCACAGCGTTTCCAAGGCTATGAATCTTTATGGAAACAGATTGCCTCATCTTTCTCCTATGGAGCAACTGGTGGGTTCAAACCCTTGACCTATTTTTAGTTAGGAGGGAGCTCTGGTGGCATAGTGCCTAAGGCATTTTACTGCTAACCATAAATAAGGCTGGTGGTTCAAACCCACCAGCCACTCCTCAGAAGGAAGACTGGACAATCTACTTCTGTAGATATACCACCTCAGAAACCCAAGGAGGACACTTTAACCACTATGCCACCAAAGCCGTATGTATGTGTGTGTGTGTGTGTGTAAAGAGGAAGCTCTGCTGGTATAGTGCCTAAGGCATTTGACTGCTCACCAGCAGGCTGGAGGTTCAAATCCACCAGCCACTTCCTGGAAAGAAGGTCAGGCAATCTACTTCCATAGGGTTATTGCCTCAGAAACCTAAGGAGGGGTCACTATGAGTCGGACCCAACTCACCAGCAGTTAGTTTTTTTGTTTTTTTTTAATATATATAAACATATAATTGGAGCTCTGATAGCGTAGTGCCTAAGGCACTTGACTGCTAACCAGAAGGCTGGCGGTTCAAACCCACCGGCCTCTCCTCGGAAGGAAGATGGGGCAATCTACTTCCGTCGTGATACCGTCTCAGGAACCCAAGGAGGGGTTGCTATGAGTTGGGTCTGACTCGACGGCACATAACAACAACAACAAAATATATAATTGTTCTTTTTCAGTTTCCTTTCACCAAATCAGAAGTCTTTCACATTACTACATAAATTTGTTGTTTCTAATGACAAATCTCTAAGGAGCTCTGGTGGTACAGTGTCTAAGGCATTTGACTACTAATCAGAAGGTTTGTGGTTTAAACCCACCAGCCACTCCAAGGAAAGAAGATGGGGGATTCTACTTCTGGAAACCCAATAGGGGTTGCTATGAGTCAGGATCAACTTGAGGCAGTGTGTTTGTTTTTTCTGGTTAATGAGAAATCTTTAGGGAACCACAGACTGTCTGATAAGCAGGTATGGTATCCAAGGTTAATAAAAAAGAAAAGGAAACAATGAGGGGCAATTTCTAAATCAGTACAACCTTGATCTTTCTCCTATCTAGCTGACAGAAGTAAATTTTAGAAAAGATAATTTAAGTAACATGTAACCTATAGAATACTCTAATATTACTAAATTCCATTCTTGGATCAAATACCATGTTAATTTGCCTCCACATTAACTGAACTGCTTTCACCAAGTTGCATTTAATTATGCAAAGGTTTCTGTAGAACAGCATACAAAAAGTAACGCAAAAACGCAACCTCTGTGAAATTTACTACACTTGCTATTAAAAAAAATACGGTGAATATTATTTGTGGCATTATTCAGTATTTTCTCAAAAAAAAACTCCATTTGAAGAATTTTGTTGATAATTCAATACTGTTGTTGTTGTTGTGCCGTCGAGTCGGACCCAACTCATAGTGAGTGGGTTTCCGAGGCAGTATCACTATGGAAGTAGATTGCCCCATATTCCTGTCAAGGAGTTCTGGTGGGTTTGAACCGCCAGCCTTCTGGTTAGCAATCAAGTGCCTTAGCCACTATGCTACCAGAGCTCCCAATTCAATACTAGTGAAACCTTATTTTCTGCCATGGAATTGATACCCTGCTTTCTTTTTAAGAATGAGAACTAAGTGACTAATTAATTCCCCCCTTTTTATACTGGGCACTGGGAGGCTGATTGTCAAATTTGACCTTATACTCTTATTTTTTGTAAAACTTAGGTCCTAATTTTTCATTTCTTTTATATTTTACTGTAGTTATCATGAGACCTTTTTATTTATGCCTCTGGAAACTTTTCATGGTAAGATAAGGCATTTATAAAGCACTTGCACATAAACTAAAATCTTTAAGGCATAAATCATTTTTAAACTTTTAGAAATGGGACAACCTTCCTACACATAAATTCATTTCACAGTCTAACCACAGGTAAAATCGCATTGTTAGGGACTATTGTGTACTAACTTAGAACAAGGAATTGATTTAGGTTATGTTTGCAGCTGTTCAGTCTTTTACAACCCAGTACAATTAGCACCATGACAGAAATATTGAGCTTTGTAACAGCAATATTTATCTGTATGATAAACCACAACAATTTAATAATTTTAGTTAAGAAGGCCAAGAAAGAAGTGTATTTTCCTAAGACAGAAGGGACACAAAAGGCATCCAGGGCACAAATCCACAAGATACGCTAAATGCTGCAATGTGAGTAATATGTTTTCCAATACTGGATCTTGGAAAGTTCACTGCGGTCGGCTCCCTAAGACATGAAGTGACAGTTGTGTTTATGTGTCAATAACTTTGTTCAAATGTCAACTTTAAACTTAGATCTAATTTAATCGCTACCAATCATCAACAGTTGACAGAAGTTAAATCTAAAGGTCACTAAAAAATTAAAACAACTTCCCTACTTCTAGACAGCAGATCAAAAGATTACATATATAGATATAGATATATAGTACAATAATAATATACTTAATATATACAATGTATATAATACACAATATACAATGTATATAATATACAATAATATATTTGTTATTAGTTGCCATCGAGATGATTTTGACTCATGATGACCCCATATGTGCAGAATAGATATTCCATATATCTATATGAAAATTTACTCATATTTTCATAAGTCTTTTAGCATGCAAATTAAAAAGTGGTTTAGAATACTTAATTTTTATGAATTTATGCTTAAAGTTGTAAGATTCTGTCTGTTCCATTAGGAAATGTTTCTTGTCCCTTGAACTCTCCCTACAATTTGAGTAACCAGGATATTGAATCATAGCACAATACTGCCTTTTTATCAGGGTTATTATTGTACTTTGGTCTCTTTCCAAAGTGGAGTAGTGGCAACATATTTAAGAAGAGACATTTTACAGATAGCATACTGACTCCCCAATCTCCCTGATTTAGGAGTCACCTGAATAGCCAGAGGGTCCATCCATACCACCAGGCTAGCTAATTCAGCCCCAGGAACTAATCAAGGGTAGAGTGACTATAAAAGTGTAGATATTTTCCTAAAGGAATGCTGTGTCAATGAGCTGGCCACATCCTTAAAGTCAAGGCAAGCCTATTGTAGTTGCACAGTAAACCCAGGATTTGTCCTTTAAAGCAATTCAGGTTTCAGTCAAACTTTATCTCCAGCCACATCATTCCTAATTACCTTTGCAAAAAATAAAACAAAACAAAATACTCACCAATGAAATTTTGCACCAGTCAATGTAAAACTGGGTACGGAATTTTTTATCACATGTTATTACAGGTTCCATCTCTTGACTGCATCTCAACTGATTCTGTGGATTTTTGACTTCTCGTAAACAAGAAGAAAACGGGACATCAGCACCAACCATCACATAAACTCTGTAAAAATGTGAAACTCTCAGGTTATCCTTTAAGAAAATTGAAAACACTAAAAAACAATCTACCCTCAAAGCAAGATTTACCTTTGTGAATTGAGGGATTATCCAGAATCATCCCTAAGGTAGGGGCCTAGGTTTTAAAAACAGTGATTCATATAAGGGCTTCCTTTTGTTTGTTCCTTTATCCAACCAATATTTACTATGTGCCTTGGTGCATCTGATACTCTCTCAATTCTAAGTTAATTTCTATAAATTTTACATCATCCTATTTACTTCAATTAAAAATAATTATGTGTCATATTCTGCTTAATATATTTGGTAGATTTCCTTAAAACTCTTCATTTAAAAAAATTTACCTATGGTAAATTGTTTAGAAAATAAAATGATCATTAAAATAATAAATAATTATAAATGATAAACAAACATTTTAATTTCATTTTAGTAAGACTGTGAGGATACATCCCTAGAGCTATGAGAGTGTTAGCAAGACTTTGCGATTCGACTCAACAGTTATGTCTGTTAGCTTTTCTACTAGGCAAACCCCTATGTGCTTGGTCTCTCATCAGAATTTCTCTCAATCTTTTACCTAACAAGTTAATTTAATTAAAGGGAAAACTACTACTGGTGTGTGTTTACTAAACGCATACCAGGCAAACAAAATGTACTTTTCTTAGCTGATCTTAGTAATTGTTTTTGTTGTGTGCCATCAAGTTGATTCTTACTCAACCTCCTATTCTGTGTGACAAAATAGAAATATCCCATAGCGTTTCCTAGATTACGATCTTTAGGTGAGCAGATTGCCAGGTTTTTTCTCTTGGAGTCACTGGTGGGTTCCAACCACCAACTGGTTAGCATTCAAACATTTGCACTACCTGGGCTCGTTATCCTAGCATCAGATGGAAAGAATTATAATTAAAATTTCATCATGAAACAGAAAGTAATGACAACAGCATCTAAGTATTTTGGAGCAGCCTAAGAATTTCATGACTTTCAAAAGAAAAGAGGAAAACTAAGAAATTACTCTAAATAAATATTATTTTATTTTCTTAATAACAGTGGTCTGTCTACTTATAAAAGAAATAAACCCATTAAAATTCTAGTTGTCTTCTTTGCAGAAATTGATAAGATGATTTTAAAATTCACATGGAAATCTAAGCGATTCAGAATAGCCAAAACACTCTTGATAAGAAAAACAAAATGGGATGGGAAGACTCCCACTTGCTTGTTTCAAAACTTACTATAAAGCTACAGTAATCAAGACAGTGTGGTACTGGCCTAAGAACAGACATATAGAGGAATGAAATAGAACTGAGAGTCCAGAAATAAATCCTAACATTTACACTAAATTGATTTTTGACATTGGTCAAGACAATTCAATGGCAGAAAGGATAGGCTTTATAAGAAATGGTGCTGAGACAACCATGTATCCACATGCAAAAGAAGGAAGTTGAACCTCTACTCCATACAACATGAAAAAATTAACTAAAAAGGAATCAATTGTAAAAGCTAAAACCACTAAACTCTGAGACAAAAACATAGGTGTAGATTTATATAACCTTGGATTAGGCAATGGTTTCTTAAATATGACACCAAAAGCTCACGCAATTAACAGAAAAAAATAAAAAAACGAAAGTTCATCAAAATTTAAAGTTTTTGAGCTTCAGAGGACAACATCAAGAAAGTGAAAAGATAGCTCTTTTCACTAACCATCAAGAAATGGAAAAGATATATAGATATACATATAGGTTCAAATCCCTTATCAGATGTATTTTTTGTAAAAATTTTCTCCCATTTGGATATACATATATAACTTTTACAATTCAATAACAAAAAGACAAGTAATCTGTCTTAAAAACAGGCAAAGAATCTGAGTAGACCTTTCTTTACAGAAGATACACAAATGCTCAATAACTACATGAAAAGGTATTTCACATCAGAAAAATATAAATTAAAACCATAATGAGATAATACTTCATGTCCATTCTCTCATTTTCACTGCCATTAAGTCAATTCTGACTCATAGTGACCCCCACTGGGTTTCTGGGGCTGCAAATCTTCATGGAAGTAGGGTCGCCATCTTCCTTCTACAGAGCAGCTGGTAAGTTTGAACCACTGACCGTCTGATTAGCAGCCAAATGCCTTATACACTACACCACCAGACCTCCTTCTCATGTCCACGAGGATGGTTATTATCAAAAAAGATAATAACAAGTATTGGCAAAGAGCTGAAGAAACTGGAACCCTCATACATTGCTTATAGGAATGCAAAATGATGCAGTTGCTTTGGAAAATAGCCTGACAGTTTCTCAAATGGTTAAACACAGACTTACCATATGATCCATGGAATTTATTCCTAGGTATACACCCAAGAGAAATGAAAATATATGTCTACACAAAAACTTGTACATGAATGTTAATAGCAATATTATTCACAATGGTCAATAAGCAGAAACCACACAAATGTCATCAACTGATGTATAGAAAAACAAAAGGTTTTATATATTAGAATACTACTCAGTGATAAAAAGATATGAAGTACTGATCATGATACAACATAGACGAACTTTGAAAACACTGTGTTAAATAAGGAAGTCACAAAAGGCCACATGTATTATTTCATTTATATAAAATGTTCAAAGTATACAAATAAGAGACAAAAAGTAAATTAGTGCTTGCCTAGGGATTTCAGATGAATGGAATGACTGCTGATGGGTACAGACAGAGGAAAAGAGGTTTGGGGGTGAAAAATGTTCCAAAATTAATTGTGGTTTTTGCTACACAACTGTTTAAACATACTAACAGTGCACACTTTTTTTTTCTTTTTATTGTGATTTGAGTGATGTTTACAGTGCAAATCAGTTTTCTACTCAACAGTTCATAAACGTTTTGTTTTATGTCATTAATTGTGATCTCCACAATGTAACATCACTCATTCTCCTCTTTGTGTTTCCTGTTTCCATCCCTCTTTCTTTCCTAACCCTTCCTATCTTCTGAACTTTGTCCTCGGGCAAATTCTGTCCTTTTGATTTCGAATGGTCCCATTTATACTTTCAATAGATGAAGAGTATGGAATCTGAAGTAAATCTCAATAATTATTTTATTAAAAGAAAGTGCAGAATATAATTCAAAGTTATGCAAATGTATGTATGAAGTCATCCCCAAGCTTGAGATGATAACTCTGTCCTACAAACTCATTTGGCTATTCCTTATGTCAAATCTGCATTAGAATTTAAGATTCATTTGAAAGAACATTTTGAAAACTATGCTACCTTTGAGAAATAAATTATATATAATGGATTAAAATTAAGATCAATTTAAAAAATAAAAATTCAAAACAAAAGGAGATCTGAGAAACTGCTAGTAAGGTTTAGATGATCAATGAAAATAAACATATTCCATTTAAAATCAGTTATTAAGATTTATATACAGCCAATTTCTATCCTCTTAATAATTGCCTCACCAACACCATATCTTTCTTGGTAACTATAAAATGTAATTTTAATTTTTACATTTCTAGTTTGTAAATACAGAAATATTTCTTACAACAGTTAACAGCCCTTTTGCTTATACATGACATTGATTTTCATTTATAAATGGTAATATTGTTAAATTAATTATAAATTAATGTAAATGGACATAGAGGGTTTAGGTGCTTTGAAATACTATATTTCTTTTTCTTAAATTACAAAAGTAATATAAAAACATTACAGACAACTTAGGATATAAAAACAAAATTTATATTACTGGGATAACTATTTATATTTTTCAATGTACCTTGCAAAATATTTTCAAATGCATATATTCTAACTTAATTGCAATCATCTCTAAAATATAATTTTGTATCCTGCCTTTTCACTAATACAACATAAGCATTTTCCATATAGTATAGTCTTTTCAATTATAGTTTCATGGCAATATAATTTTTTAAGTGCACATGATTTATTCAGCAATGATTTCAGAATTGGACATGTAAGTTGCTTCCAATTTTTTGATGTTATAAATAATATTGCAAAGACCATCTCTGTGCATAATCTTTAATGCTACTATCTAAAAAGAGATGCCTAGAATTGGAAGCATTTTTATGACAGTTGATACACACTGCCAAATTACTTTCATCTCTACTTGGATGATCCATAAGCTTCTCAAACATAGTATGTTCCCAACTGAGCTCATCATCACCCTACCCCACCTCCACCTGTTCCCCCCCTCTTCTATCTCCTTCTCTTTCCATGATTGGCATCTCCAGTTGCTCAAGTCTTAATCTCAAGCACCATCACCTTTGACTCCTGTCCTTCTTCCTACATACTCAATCCATCACCAGTCTCTGACATTTACCCTGAAAAACTCATACACACCTGTCCACTTTGTTCCATCCTCACTGCTACACTCCTAGTCTGAGTCACCATCACCTTCCACAGGAAGTCAAGCAAGAACGCTCTAACAGCTCTTGTTCAACACAGTGTTTCTCCTCATTGGGGTCAGGGAACCTATTCGCTAAATGAATAAATGAAAAGCTTTTTTTTTTTTTTTTTTATCAGTTTAAACTATAAACAGTAATGTAGAAGAGTACAAATGGCATGTTTAAGAGTAGTGGATATTAGATTTGGCTCCTAAGTCGTAAAAGAAAGTGTATTTCTTGCTTGTATTTTATAGAACCAGTAGGCTTGAATAGGTTGGCATTTTTTAGAATTTTGTATTAGGCTATGTATAACAAGAACAATAACTCTATGTTATGCATGCTAAAATTATATTTTCTTAATCTATTATTTCCCTTTTAGGTAGATTTTTAAGTAAAATTTTAAGTTTTTATGTGAAATGAAGATGATCTTATCTTTATGAAAATGGACGATATGAGAGTATATTATCAAGTACTAGATCTCAAGCAAGGTGAACAAAGCATAAACTCAAAAACTCACTGCCATCGAGTCAGGTCTGACTCATAGCAACCCCTCCTCGGGTTTCTGAGGCGGTGCTAAAACGACAAGGAGGCCACATGTTCTG